GTTTTGGGGAAGCCACAGATGACACGCAAAGACCAACAAACAACACAAAAAAAGTATCTTTACAGAACATTGACCTACGTATAACTTATGACCAAATACTTAACCCAGACTTTATAATAAGGTATTGTAAACGCCTCATAAAAGAAAAAGAAAAAATTCAGACTTCTCTGTTAAGAAGGAAGGGCCAAAAATTTTTACACCATTTATCCAGATCACAGGGGCACTGTGCCCCTAACCCTGGCTATGTGGAAGGGATAGCTGTAGTCTGTAGTGACTGGAGAAGGCTTTGTTGAGTAAATGGGACTTAGATTAAGCCTTAAGTTTCTTTTTTTTTCCTTCTTTCAAAAAATTTTTTTGGATAACTGAATTTCAGTATAATTGGTTTCCTTGATAATTCTATATGTTTTATTTTATGTATTTTAAAGCATTCAGAGAAGGGGCTTTGCCAGACTTCCAAAGGGATACATGTCCCAAAAAAGGATTAAGAACCTCTGCCTTAAAGGGTTATTATAAAGGGAGAGGGAGGGTTTTCACAGAAGGAGGAATATAGCATAAGGAAAGGTTTAGAGGTAGGAAAAACCTGCCATGTTGGGGAACAGCAAGAAGTCTGTGGTCTGTCAGATGAGTAAGGGTTGCAGAATATTGGGAAAGAAGGTTGACTTGATTAGGTTGGGACAAATGAAGAAGGACTTTTATTTATTTTTTTAATTGAGTTATTTTTTAGTTTTCAACAATCACTTCCATAAGCTTTTGAGTTTCAAATTTTCTCCCCCTCCCTCCCCAAGACAGCATGCAAGAAGGGCTTTTAAAGCTTGACAAAGGAGTTTAGACTTATCATGTGGTAGGCTTATAAATTCTTCAGCCAGGAGGGATGTGATAAAAGTAGTGTTTTGATAAATCAAGATGAGTCTGGCTAAAATACAGAGAAAAGATTAGGAGGGAAAGAGATTGTGTAGCAGGGAGGCCCACTAGGCTCTTCTGGTAATCCAGGGGTGGAGTGATGACAGTTTGGATCAGGGCAGTTGGCATTGGAAGTTAAGGAGTGGGAATAACTGAGAAATCTTTTGAAGGAAGAAATAACGAGACTTGCAGCTCAGGTACCACCTTGTATATGAAGCTCTCCCAACCCCCTGCCCCCAATTTAGTGCCTGCCTTCCCTCTCAGACTTCCTTGGATTTCACTACCTCAGATTTAATCTCTTTGTATTCATTCCATATATACTTACATACATATACTTCTTATCTTCCCTAAAAGAGTATAAGCTCTTTTTTATCAGGGATTATTTTAGCAGTTAGGTTGCATGGTGGATAGAGCACTGGACCAAGAGTCAGGAAGACCTGAGTTCAAATCCAGCCTCAGACATTTGCCAGCTGGGCAAGTCACTTCCCCCTCTGTGGGCTTAAGTTTCTCCCTCTATAAAATGGAGTGGTTGGACCGCATAGTTTCTGAGGGCCCCAGCTCTGGGACCCTATAAGTTTGGGTGTCAGTCTCCAATGGCAAAATAAGGTGAAATGGAGACCTTCCATCAGGTAAGTCAGGTGAGAACCTCTGAACAACCCCTCAAAACCTTCTGGTGGACCACATTTTATAAATAGAGGCATTACTCCAACCAAGGGGACCATGTCACAATCCCATCATTAACATACTGTAAGCAAGAGAAAGAACAGTGGGGTGCTGTGGCTAGAGTCTTGGATTTGGAAGTAGGGGACCTTGGTCCAAATTTGAGGCAAGTACCTTCACTTCTCTGAATCTTATTTGTCTTTGCTCTAAAATAAGGGGATTGGGCTGGATGGCGTCTGAGGCCCTGTTCAGCTCTCAATCCACGATCCTAAAAACTAAACTCCCTCAAACCCCACGAGAATGTGGCTTGGTCAACTGCCCATTTCTGCCTTTATTTCCGGGGAACTGACAAGGTGCCTGTATTGTTGGTTCTCCTAATTTGTTTTCATTAATGGAATTCGTTTTATCTATATGAATATTGAAGTAAGACTTTTCATTACTAATGTTCAGCAGAGGTAACCACTGGGTCAGATTCCAAGAGCTGGAAACAGCGAAAAAAGATTCACCCCCTCCTACATTACCCCACCCAAGGACCAAAACATTGCTAATTATAGTGATTTTACCCCAACAAGTATTCCCTGCTTCTTGAAAAATTGAAGATGGAGAGTGGAGATCAATCAGTCAATCAAAAAGCAATTATTAAATACCTGCTTTATGCCAGGTATTGTGGTAAGCACTGAAGATAAGAGATAAAAATTAAACCAGTCCCTACCTTCAAAGAACTTCTATTTTATCGGGGGAAATAATGTATGCGCATTATATGCATGGATGTATATAATGTATATATGTATGTACAAATATTTCAGTTGTTAGTAATTTTTCAGTTGTGTCCAACTGTTCATGACCCCATTTTGGGTTAGATACTGGAGTGGTTTGCCGTTTCCTTCTTCAGCTCATTTTACAGATGAGGAAACTGAGGCAAACATGGTTTGCCCAGGGTCACACAGCTAGTAAGTGTCTGAGACCAGATATGAACTTAGAAAGGTAAGTCTTCCTGATTCCGGGACTGGAGCTCTATCCACTGTACCACCTAGCTGCCATATACAAATATACAAGTCAGAAAGGAAATGCAGTTGAAAAAAGGATTTGATGCCACATGGCAAGGAGCAGGGGTCTATTGTCAGATTCTCTCAGCACCCCAAACTCATGAACATCACATAGCATTTATCTACTGGAGTTTTGTCTTCACCACTCTCCCTAGCATACTGGGGATGCCTGAACACCAATTCGAGATAGAGTTTCAAGAAGAATGAGTAGATCACATCTCTGGTTTCATTGTTTCTTCATATATTCTACTGTGATAGGCACTCTTCATACACTTGTTTTTTCTGTGTGGATAGTTTTTTGAGGGATTATGGATCTCCTTTTAAGAGGTTTTGTATTGTCCTGGGACTTGACATCATCCACAAACAAGCTTCTGGAGCATCTTACCACTTGTAAGGAATCCCACTTTCAGTTTGGACTCAGTTCACATCCTCCGTACGTCAGAGATTTTTATTGAGCATTTGACTCTCTGTTTTATGACTTAGCTGATATTAATTATCAGGGGATAGTGAAACAAAGTTGTCTCTCTTCTATGCTTCAAGGAATCTTAGATGATTTTTATACGTTGTACCCTTTTTGAAGAACCTTTAAAGTTATACTTTTCTCTACCATATCTATAGCATATAAACATCTATAGAAACTTTATATAAAGTATATAGAATACGTAAAGTATATAGAAACTATATTTTATATATAAGTATATAGAAACTTCATGGCTTTTTTCTAATGGTCTTATTAGACATTGGAGCTAGAAGGTGCCTTAGAGATCATAGAATCATAGATTTATAGCTGGAAGGAACCTAATATATAGGGTTCAGTCCCTTTAATTTACAGACATGGGAACTGAGACCCAGACAGGTCTATCGAGTAGCCCAAGGATACATAGCAAGCTAGTGGCATTGCTGGTCATCAGAGATGTCGTCTTCAGGGTCTCAGAAAGACGTTCTATCCATTATACCACACAAGCTTCCAGTCTTGTCCTTTTCCGACTTCCTTATAACTTTTTATGTTTCTTTGTTTTCATTGTCCTGCCTATTAGATCCACATACTCTTCATTGTGTGGGTAGCATTTGCTTGGATAGAAAATGACATTTGGTATTTCCCAGTTAATACATGAACTGATGTTATTAGCAGCCCTCTTTGTTCACAGTAGACAAACTCAGGAGTATTGTGCAAAGTGTGTTTCCATTTTTCTCATATAATCAAAGCTTTTTCCCTATCCCTCCCCCTACCTTCGGCCATACTTTTTTTTTTTTTAAAGAATTGGCATCAACCTAGATTACTGCCATTTAGTCATTTAATAAAATCTGGAATCCACATTTTCCCCCTCTTTTACTGTTATTGGGCCCCACTCTGTCGCAGTGCATACAGTTTCTGAAAGGAAAAGTAGAACAACTGCCTTGGGTGTCCACATCTTTTCCCTTTTTAAAAAGTAAAGCCTGGTCTCAGGAAGGACAAAATGTTCTTCTGCGTGGAAGTTGAGGAGGGATGGCAGGGGCTGTTTCTGGTGGAGGGGTTTTTTTAGTAGAGGGGTATAAGGTAGAACCCACTGACATTTGTGCTGGTTTGGGGCCATATCTCTGGTGTAAATAAAGTCTGGAGCTTGTTGTAATGGGCTGTTATATTCCCAGAGTGAAGTGGGGCTGAGTTGGCTCTCCCCAGAGCCTATCTTAGGTCTTTTCTTTGTTGCTGTTACCTTCCCTGCCCTTGATCATTGGTGACTTCCATTTGCAATCAGCTCATAGCCTCCAAACAAGTGTACCTCCCTTTGAGAGAAATTCTGCCCAGCTATACTGAAAATGACCAGAGTGTGATGAAGGACCATCTCAATACCCCATCCAGATTGGAACATTCTAATTACAAAGAGGCTTCCAAAGGTGTTTATTTATAGCTGTTGGTGAATCCAGCACCAATGAAGCTGTGTGTGTGTGTGTGTGTGTGTGTGTGTGTGTGTGTGTGTGTTATACACAGACACAGAGAAACAGAGAGACAGGAGACAGAGACAGAGAGAAAGACAGAGGTGAGAACAGAAGCCAGCAGGTTTCAGGTTCCCTAGCAGTCCTCCTGTTTGCCAGGCAGGAAACCAGCTGTGCCCCCATGTGACCATGGCAACAGCTTATGGTTTGGTCTCCGAGTCTGTGATGACATATTCAACCCTGCTATTGTCAGAGGATCTAATTACATCAGAGACAGTGCTAGCCACATAGGTCACATTCAATGGTGTTTCTTATTTAATCAGTTGCATTTAAAGGCAAATAGACTTAGAAATGCAAATAGACTTGGAAATGCATTTTCCCCTTTGTTCCCTGCTCCAATGCCAATTCCAAAATAGCTGCTACTTTTTGTTTGAAATAATGACCAACCCCAATTGTTTCTTTTGTCCTTCTCCTCTGCAGATGTCGTTCCTATGAAGACTGCTGTGGCTCAAGATGCTGTGTGCGGGCTCTGTCCATACAGAGGCTCTGGTATTTTTGGTAGGTTGCTGCTCTTACTACGTCGGGGTACCTGCCTGTTACTCATTAGAGAGGCAGTATGGTCATGGATCAAGAGTCAAGATTGGAGTCCAGAAGGCTTGGTTTCAAATCTTACCTGCGGGGGCAGCTATGTGGTGCAGTGGATAGAGCACCGGCCTTGGAGTCTGGAGGACCTGAGTTCAAATCTGACCTCAGACACATAATAAATACTTCCTAGCTGTGTGACTGTAGGCAAGTCACTTAACCCCAACTGCCTCACTAAAAAAAAAAAAAAATCTTACCTGTGATACTACCGATGACATCCTGAACAAGTCCTTAAATTCTTTGAACCGCAGTCTCTTCATCTGTAAAATGAAGGAGTTCAAGTAGATGACTCCTAAGATCTCTGCTGGCCCTAAATCTATGATCCTTAGAATCCGTCCACTGCTTCTGAATATGACCAGTTGCCAACTGTGGATAAGGCAGAGTCCATCTTTATTGCTACCATTAAACTCATCTGCCTTGCCCCCTTGGGTATTGTGTTATGGACAATCTTTTGTACAGGGAATAAAATTTTCATATGAGTACTTTGGTGTTGACATCATGACTAGTCATGCATGCCCTTTGGTACCCAAAGAACCATGCTGGAAACTCAGTCCTATTCCCATGTCCTTTAGCTCTTCTCATTAACTCACTTCAATACTCAGATTTCAAAGGTGTAGACACTGCTTCCCACACATGACTGTCAGTAGACAGTCTTGATGAGTTGTTGTGGCCTGAAAAAAAGAATGATCATTTAGCTTGATGGTAAGGAACTTTCATGGCATTAAAGCTGATTGGGTCTTGGACCCCAGACATAATCAATTCCCAAATCCTCACCCAAAGCCTTCCTAGCTTGATAGAACCTGCCAGCACCTGATGTCCACTGACACAACCTTTTAGAACCCATGGCCACCTAGCTTTCCAGAGCTAGGACAGATGCTGTCGAGGGAATCAGTCCTAAATCCTTCAGGGCCTGAAAATGGGAAACTGCTTCATATTCTCCTCTTGACCAATTTCTGAAGTAAAGTGACTGCTGAATAGCCTAAGTGGCTAGAGAAATTACTATTCAGCAAATTAAGATACATACTAATTTCATCATCTTAAGTTTCAGGTCACCTGAATTTTTTTTCACACTGAATTAATTCAATTTAACAAATATTTATTGAGTGCCTATTATATACAAGACTGTGCTAAGCACTGATGCAGATACTGAAATGAGAAAGGATGAATGCCTGCACTCTAGTAGTTTCTAGTAGTTTACAATTTCCTTAATCTTATGTATTTTCCTTATGAAGCTTTTGCATTTTTTTTTTGTATTTTCAAAAGTAAGCATTTATTTTCTCTCCCACTTCTCCACCAAAAAAAAAATTGGGAAAAAAAAGAAAAAAAAAAAGAAAAGTCATGTAACAGATATGCATAGCATATGCACAGTCAAGCAAAACCAACACATCCACCATGTCCAAAAATGTATGTCTCATACTGCATCCCAAGTCTATCACTTCTTTGCTTGATGTTAGCTTTAGGGCAGTGGTGCTGGTAACTCCCTGTCTGTATTGCTGTGTCACCATTAAAGGATTCACTCAGGAGCCAATGATAGTATACTTTGAGGGGGAGACGATACAATTATAGTTTCGAGGCAGGATGAAACTGCATCCTTATAGAATGTCCAAATAAGAAATAGAGCTTGATTTGCAATTAGGTATTTTCAAGATCCAAGAATCATGACTTTGGGTGGAAATGTCTCTTTAAGAATTCGTTTGATTTTGTGAGTCATAGCAAACAAAATAATGGTGTATTGGTTGTTGTTGTTGATGATGATGCTTCTTTCCCATATGCCAGGGATACTTGGGCATATCTGGGAAAGGGGGAAATAAAAGAAACTTTCTCTTACACAGAAAACATCTGTCAAGCACCTATAAAATACTGTGCTGGGCACTGGAGATATAAAAATAAAAAATAACTTCATCTCTACCTTCATGGAGTTTACAGTAGTAGTGGATGGGTACACAGATAAAAATTATATGAGATAGAATATAATAATAGCAAAGGAGACATCCAGACAAAGTGCTCCTGGAAAGTTTGAGGAGGAAAATCACTTTCAGCAGGATGTAGGATGAGGGGAGGGGAAAGGGAGATATAATAAGGGAGGACTTCATGGAAGAATTGACACTTGAACCTTGAAGTAAGTGAAGGATTTCAGTAGGTAGAGACAAGAGGAGGCAAGGGATACTGAATTTCCACCATGAGAAATGGGTCACATTTACACATGAATGAAAAAGCAATTTGTTAAGTACTTACTACATATCAACCTCCATGAAAAGCTCTAGGGGTATAAATACAAAAGGCAAGACAGTCCCTAACCTCAAAGAACTTACATTCTAATAGAGGAAGATAGCACTTATGGGGAACCGTGGTGGCTACGGAAGGGTGTTTTCATCTGGAAAATCTCAGGGATGGCTAGTGAAATCATAGGGTAGTCCTAGGATGGTAGTGTTGATATGATTACTTTTCCAAGAGTTGAAGGAGGCAAGGCTGGGGAAAGGGTATTCATGACGTGACATGGCATAAAGATGCCCAGAGAACGGCATGAGGTTTTGAGTCAAATTAGAGATGGAGAACTCTTACCAGTTATGGGTTCAGAGTCCCAGGATGGGAGCAGGAACACTGGGACAAAGGGTGGACTGAGGCAACATGACATGAAGTTGGACCTGAAGATGGAAAGAAGCAGGAGACAAGAAGATGTAATTAAAATATACTGGGAATAATAAAGGGAGGTTGGAACTGAATTGTGGAGGGCCTCAGATGTTGGGCTTGTACTAGGCAATGAGGACTCTTAAATGTTTTTAAAGGAGAGTAAGATGGTAAGATCTGAACATTACGAAACTTTCTTTGGCAGCTGTATTAAGGTTAGGCTGGATGCAGTAAGACAAATTAGATGATGCAGGTAACGGATGATATGAGCTTGAACTCAGGTGATAGCTGTATAATGAGGAAGGGGATGGATGTGTAAGATCAATCAACAAACCTTTATTTTGTACTTACTATGTGCCAGGCACAACGCTAAGTGTTGAGGATGCTTAGAAAAAAGCCCTGTCCTCAAGAAGCTTACATACTGATGCATATGCTTCAATAGAATCTGGCAACCAATTGGATGAGGAACATTAGAGAGAAAAGGGAAGAATGAAAGATGCCTGAGATTGTGAACATAGATGACTTGGAGGAATTTGGGCAGGGTCTATAGTCATTTTTGTATCTCCACATGACTATAGAGTCATCTCCATAGAGTGATAATTGAAGGGGGTGAGATTCCCAAGGAAGGGAATGGATAGTCAGGCCATATTAAGAATGTACTATATGCCAGTCACTGTGCTAAGTACTGGGGTACAAAGACAAAAAACACATGAGTCTTGGCAGCAACCCATAGTTTAAAAGGACCCTTAAAATGAGCCAGTGAAGGATATAAAGAAGGAACATTCATATAGGTAGGAGGAGAAGCAGGAGAGAGTGGCATCATGAAACCCCAAGGAATAAAAGATATCTAGGTTGCATCCCATGTCTGTTTTCCTGTTGCTTTTCGGTCTACAATTATTGTGCTGCTGTAAAGGTTTGGGCTACACAATCGCTCGAGACCTCATGGAGCCTGAGAACTTCTGTCCCAAGAGGCTTCAACAGCAACCACTCTGACTTGCACAGAATTTCTCTTTCACATAGGGACCCCCACTGCCAATTTGTGTGATCGAGGGAAGCTCCTGAAAGATAAGGTGACATCCCCCTCTTACTTACTTAGCCAAGTTTTTCCTTTCATTTTAGTGCTTTGGGTTCTCCTGCTCTCCTCTACCATCAGTAGATTCTCTTTCCATATAGGTCATTTGAGGCAAAATAATTTTAGAAATTGCCAGTACCCTGAGCCGGAGGGCACCTGTCTTGTCTATTATGCTACCTTGGCTAAATGTGCCAGTTACAGTCTCCTTGGTCCTAAAGTGGTATCCCTCATGGCCATTGAGGTGCCAGGAGGCCAGCCTCCCACATAGGATGGGATTGATTTCAGGCTCTCATTCCTTCTGTTATAGCCGTCGGCTGTTTTGATGCCTGACATAACCCAGTTAGAGATTTGTTTCTTTGGTTTAGGGCACTTTGTTCCAGCCAAATACAAATAACCCTGGTAGTGATAATATACTTAAGCCTTAGCAGTTCTAGTGGGTTACAACTCCAAAGAATCAGGGAATATTGGCGCTGGAAGGGACCTTAGTGTATACAGACACTGTAATCCTAGCTCTGTGACTATGGGAAAGTGAACTCCATCTCTCAAAACCTGAGTCTGCATGCTCTAGTCAGTCAGCCAATCAACCAACAAACATTTATAAAGCATTTACCATGTGCCAAGCACTGTGCTAAGTGCTGGGGATACAAATAGAAGCAAAAAGACAGTCCCTGCCTTCAAGGAGCTTTTAGTCTAATGGGGAAAAACAATATATAAAAAGGAGCTGAAAATCAGATTGGAGAGGGGGATGGAGAGAAAGGTACCCAGTGCAGGGGCATGGTAGAAAAAGTTGTGTGGAAGAGTTGGCACTGCACAGGGCAGCTAGGTGTTGCAGTGGATAGAGCACTGGCCCTGGAGTCAGGAGGACCTGAGTTCAAATCTGGCCTCAGACACATAAATCACTCACTAGCTGTGTGACCCTGGGCAAGTCACTTAACCCCAATTGCCTCACCAGAAAAAAAAAATTGGCACTGCAGCCTGGAGAGGAATACCTGTAAAGTGGAAATGTGGTCCCAACAACAGACTATGTTTGCTTTTAAGGGACCAGGAAGGGAAGTGGATTTGGAGTCAGGAGGACCTGAGTTCAAATCTGGCCTCAGACACATAACATTCACTAGCTGTGTGACCTGGGGCAAGTCACTTAACCTCTATCTGCCTCAGTTTGTTCATCTGTGAAATGAGGTGGTTGGACTAAATGGTTTTTTAACCACAGTACCCT